CCGAGAGGAGGAGCGGCTGGGCCGGGCCGAGACGCTTGCGGGCTCCGCGCACTGCTACCCAGCCAATCAGCGCTCAGGGACGACGGTTACGTAGTATCCCCGCCCCCACGGGCCGCCTTTCTCGGAGAAGCCACGCCCAACTGCTGCCCTGCTGCCCTGCTCTGACGGCTTCCGCTGGGCCCTAAAATACTGTCCTTTCTTGCGGCCAGAGTACGAGGGGTGGGCCGTGAGGCCGAGGCGAGGTGATCTTGCGAGGCTTAGGCTGGAGCAGGGAAGTGGGCGACTTCATGTTCCTGAAAGCTCTCACCCGGGCCTTGGCTGCTGACTTCCCTCTGCTCTGCCACCTCCCGTCGGCCGCCGCCCTGTCTCCGTACGAACTGCCCGGACCCAGACGAGTGGGCGCGCAGACACTAAGAGGAGCCCTTTCAAATCTCCCCCGCCGGGGGGACTTTGTGAAAGTCGGCAGCTTTGAAAGGATCACGCATGTTGACTCGCAGTGTCGCAGATCAGGGAACTGGATAAAGACGCAGAGTAGAGTCGGTGGTTTGGGGGCCCAAACGCCTGCGTCCCGGCCAAGCACCCACGCCGAGGCTGCGGGGTTCTCAGGTGGGGACCGGCGGCTGTCGAGGGGGGACGTGCCTGAGGGGCCCCCTGGGCTAAGCGTTGTTTCTGATCTGTGAGGCTCTTTGATCGACAGTTTGGGGAAAGACCCCACCCTCTACTTCTGAAATCTCCGTTTTGGGAGTCATTTATTTGCTAGATAAGGTTTCAGTGCATAACGGGAACATTTTTTATCTTTATTAGTGTGAATTTCCTGTGACTTAAAGTACCCCCATGACAGTCTTTCAACTTACTTTAAAAGTTGTGCTACATGTTGAGAATGTAAGGACCTCCAAAATATCTTTCCCAAACGGTTTCCCTTTCAGTCCAAAGTCTTAAAATCCAGTTGGATATTTTGCAGACTCATTTATTAAAAGTGGTTTTAAAAAAAATTCTTAATGTTTACATTAAGAAATCCTACTATAGTCACGCAGTAGAAGTGTGGAGAACAAAAATCACACTGTAACACCTTCCCAAAGTTTTGGGACTTGTGCTGGGACAACATATCCCGAACCCTCTTACCTCACAACTTCATGTCCAGGAAGCTTCAGAACCAGGTTGAATTGAAGCCGGGATATAGAGACTTATTTTCAATACTTCTAGGTTCGCAAAATGTGTTGGAGCTATGCTGTCATCTAACTTACTATTTCCTTATAGTCTTTGGGTAAAATATACTATCCGGTGAAAACTGAGGATTTTTACTAAATGATCGATTA